ATTTAAAAATAAATTAATAAATAAGAAACAAACAATGGCAACCCAAATTGTTTGCCAATGTCCACTTATAAAACACAGTATGTGAAAGTTTAAGTTTCTTTACTCCCCAATGAAATTGGCAGGAAATTTGTGGATTTGTGTGTACAATACTTCAATACACTTATATTATATTCCAATATAATTATTAGAATGATAGAAAGTTTTATAGGGGAGTGTTAATCTATTTTAAGTCAATATTACAGAAAGTATTCAGTTATTATTAACTCATGAAGCTGAAGGAAAAAAAAAAAAAAAAAAAAACAAAAGAAAAAAAATCAGAAAAACCACCACTACTGAGTAATGTGGTAAGATTTTCCCTACTGCATATAGAATTAATAATACATGTGAACCCTTAATTTTTAATATAGCTATCCACCCATATATCCCTCCATAGAGAGAAAGTACAAACAGGTGCACATGACAGAGAATAGATGGAAATTTATGAATATACTACTCTTTATATAGATGTTAATTATTCCACCATGCATACATAGAAATCTTTGATCTCTGAACGTTCAACTATGGTCTTCAAGGAGAAAACAAGAATGGGAAGCACTTCAGAAAAAGCTTGTGCTAGAATTGTGAACCAAGCTTGGTTGAAAAATGATACTGTATACATTGCTCTGAATCAAGGTCAAAAGTGAATTAGGAATCCAGGCTCTGAGTAATGAGGGCTTAGCACTTAGCAGAAATGACATGCCCAGTTTCCAGCTCAGAAGTGCCAGCTGACCTGCCAACCTAGCATTCCAGATCTGAAAGGGAGAAATCTGCTCTCCTTGCTACAGACAAGATGTGTACTACTAATTATTGCTCCTAGAGGCTTATGATGAGCTACAGTAGGATAGTTGTCTGGAAGCCAATTCTCAGCATAGAATTTGGGCAGCCCAGGCTGTAAATCTGTCTCACAAAAGTAACATAAGCAACATTCAAAAAGAAAAGTCTTTTATTTAAAGGAGATAGAAAAGGAGAGAAGCAGTTAGACCATATCGTCTAAAAGAAACTTTTCATTTTGAGCTGTGAAGAGCTTTAATACTTGATTGTGCTGTAGGATACTTCCAAATAAAAAGGCCAGTAAAACAATCCTTCAGCTCATAGAATAACTAAGATGGATATACCCAAGTTATCCAAGAGGCCCTAGAGTCTAATGTTGTTGATTAAATTAGACACCTGTTCATTTCTGACCTCTTCTGTCTTATGAGAACACATGTCAGCAAAGTCTTTACATACTCAAATTAACTCTAAATATTTGCAGCATTCTTTTCTTTTCCAATTATAATTTTCTCATCGCTTTTCTCATTTCCAAATCATTACAAACTATGGCACAGGAGTGCCTTACAGTGCAAAAAGTGCAAATACTGGACCACGAAGTCAAAAAATATGTAATTTATCCTGTAATGTTAGTAATCTGTGTTCAGGTTACAAATAAACCTAAAAACATACCTAAGGTATATTCCTGTGTGTGGCACCCGTGTTCCCACACCATACACAAGACATGACACTGGCTGAAGCACTATTATTAAAGAGAGATTAAAACAGCTGTACATTATGCTGAAGCACTCACTCTTCCCTTTACAAACAGACGGTCCTGGATTACAAGCAGCACTTGACCATTTAAATCACTACAACAACCAGATTTAACCAGCTGGGCCATATTCTCTTAGGCAATGCCTGTTGACCTCCTCAGTCACAGCTGCTCAGATGAAATTCTCATTAGACAACTTATTTTCAGGAGCCAAAGGAGTCTGATTAAATATATCTATTTAGACATGATAAAGTCTTCCAGTATATATTTCTTTTGCCAGTGTTATGAGGTACAACAGAGACAACAAGGAGTATATACAAGCATAGCAGACACCTAATATCTGAGTGCATAGCACAAAATATTTAAGTGTTTGACCCCAACGACCTGTATTTCTCAAATTCAGATGATATAGATAGACCAGAAAGTTTCTATGTAACAATATTAAGAGAGACTTTTCACTGTGCTGGTGTGGGGGGTAGAACTGATGACTGGAATTCTTGAGTTCTTTACTCCACACTTAACTCTACAATTAACCTGACATATGACTTTGTGTTAGCCCAAAACCCACAGCTACATCAGTGGTCAGGGAAGTCATCCCTATAAATGAGACTAACATGAACTTTTAAAGGAGATATGCAGGACTTAAAGCCCCCACACCACAGCAGACAGTAGAAACACATGTCTTTTCTCCATTTCATTCATTAAACCCATTATATTATTCTCCCTATTTTAAAAAAAAAAAAAATCGGCAGCTATTTTTCAATTTGAGTAAGCAATTTTGTGACAGGGCAGGACTTAGTACAAAGAACTCCTCAATTTCATTGTTTTAAAATACCATTTTAAGAAAAGAACTGCATAGAAACACATTTTAAAGGATAGAGGTTAAAGAGCACCATGTATGGTAAGTGTGTAATCAGGCTATTAATTAGGTTGTTCAAAAGACACTGAGGGATGACAAAACAATTTCATAATCTCAGACCTGATTTCTCCGACTGCATAGAGCTAAAACAAAGTTCAATCTTAAAATAGTAATTATTTTTAACATTTTATTTTAATCAAACAAGTACAGAGACCACTTCTTTTAAATTCAGAGAAACTTCTGAATACTGAATTGAGTATTCAAATCTGTTCTAAGAATTTTGGTATTCCTAGACCACACAGAAGTTTAGAAACATTGAACTTCCTAAGTGCAACATCCTGAAGAATTTCCAATCCTTCTATTAATTATTTTTCTGTATTAGTTTATATGGTACCAGTCAGATGTTCATTAATTATTTTCTGGAAAACATAAGTAACTTTTTTCCTGCAGAAAATGGTGGATGAATGGAAAAGAACTTAATACAGAACCATAAAATTATCACAGAATGGCCTGGCCTGGAAGAGATCTTAAAGATGATCTAATTCCAGCCCCAGTGCTATAGGCACTTTTCATCAAACCAGGTTGCTCAGAGCTCCATCCAACCTGACCTTAAGCACTTCCAGGGAGACATGTCCACAGCTTCTCTGGGCAACCTTTGCCAGAGCTTCACCACCCTCCCAGCAAAGAATTGTCTCCTAATATCTAATCTAAACCTAACCTAAACACGAAGATACAGTCAAATACCTTTGAACTTACAGGCAGACTTTAGAATAGCTTTCCATTCTAATGTGGTCCATAAAGGGCAAGATTATTTTATGGATCAAAAATGACCTTTATTTCAGCTGATGAGAACACATAGCATGTAGAAGGCTCTGACTCAGATAGAGGGATCTCTCTGCTCTGCACTCTTAAAACAACCAGTATATACCAATACAGGGGAAGCACAGAAAATTCTTGAGAACCCATACAAAAATAAGCTATGAAACCCTCAAATCCCTACAGATACTATGTTTAAACTTTTTGATGCACACTTTTATTAGCACACCATCCAGTACACTCCTGGAAGAGCCTTGTGGTGTCAATATAACCAACAGCAACTCGAGCACTCCCGCAGAAAGTACGAGCCAAGACCTTTGATTAGCATGGGGTGTCGAACGACTGCTACTGACTGCAGAAAACAACTTTGCCAAAGTAATATTTAAAATAGTTTTCCTAGCCTAACCACCAAATCTAAGAAAGCAATTTTTAAAAGAGTGATCTTTACAGCTGAAAACAGACAGATGGTAGTAAAGAATCTGGGACATTCTCTCTTTAGAGATGTTTCACCAGCTTCAGAAAGGACACCTATAGAACACACTGGCATTTAACAATTATGCCAAGAAATTTGGAAGCCTACTTCCATCACTACATGATTTTATCCCATATTTAAACATATTATTGTATCAGCTTCAATTTTAATTGAAATCTGCATAGCCACATGAGGCCAAGAGAACTTAAAGTGAAGTGTTTGAAGTGCACTGTGACAATATAATGAAATTGAGGAGGCAAAATAATTCTGAACTCATTCATATTTCAAAGAAAAAAAGAATCACAAAGTTCTACTGTATTTTGGCTCTACTACATTATAAATATTCTTCCTGGGTTATTTTTAATGCCACAAAACTGAACTGGTAAAATATCTAAGAGAATCCACACAGATGCCTCTGCACCTGTTTTTCTATTTCAGAGCCTCCTGCTCTCACAACTTCCCTGATTCAAACTCACGTATGAGCTCAGAGATTAAAAGGCATTGTTGCAGAACCAAGTAAGCCTTCATTCTACTTACCAAGGGGAGAAATTTTTGTGGTGGGCCCTGACTGAGTTCACACATACACTAATAAACTCACTCTCCAATTCTGTTTGTTTTCTCCCATGGCCCAAAATCTTCGCAAAATCAATGAAAGTATCTGAATAAGGGCTGGCTACATAAACTGCTTTAGCACTCAAAGATTTGTCCTCATTTTTATCTCTGTTTTAATACTTGTAACAATATCTGAGGAGACTGTAAAAAAAAAAAAGATATTTCTTCCTCTGTAATTCTAGCTATATAGGTCAGAACTATGTACTTTTACACTTAAAACTGTTTTCCATTCTCCTAGTTACAGATGCTAGGTTATTAAAGTGATGAAAGATGAGAATTTTTAAGGCAAAACAAACCAGCTCATGTTTTATTCATTCTTATTGTTAAAAATAAATATTTGTCTTTTAAAAGGAAGAGAACCAATACAACTGAAGAACATCCCTCACAAGTCCACGGCCGGTTAAGAATTCATCATAACCTTTCAATTGAGAGTTGAGTTTTCACCAAATCTAGCATTCTTACTTTTACTCACAACCAAGACAATTTTAAAAGTTTTTAAAAGCTGGCATATTTGTCTAGATCTCAAACTACCATTGCCATAGAAACCTGTGATTAACTTTATCTTAGCCTTCGCCAATTATGTAGTTTTATGGCCCTTGATACGCAACACATCCTTTATGCCATAAAAATTACAGGATTGGGAGGGTGGGGAAACTGCATCGATCTTATCCAACACATACCTTCTTGCTCAGTCCTGGTCATTTCTTCTAGTTTCTTCTGCTTCAGTGTGTCCACCACATCTGCTAGGCTTCCCTTGCGGCGCTCCGGCGTTCCAAAGTTAACACTGGTCATTAGCTCACTGCGGTCACGACCTCCTTCGTCTGGCTTGTTTGGTGAGGTAGAGGTATTTCGGAAGGAATATAGGGAACATAACTTATTACTCTCTGACTCCTGCAAAGAAACAAAGCAATGTCAAAACATGAGCTCTTCTCTCATGGCAGAAGGATCTCAGGCAGGAAAAAGCTGAAAGCGTTATTTGCAATACTAACAAGCATACATCTATCCTTCCGTTTATAAATTGAGCATTACCACCTGAATTCTTTGTTTCAGTGCTTTTGTCCCTAAGTCCAGTGCTCTCCATTTTAGAATGGAGAATGTTAAATGTATGAATGTTTCTAACATTCATACTTCATGCCTCAGATAATCTTCATGAAGGATGTCCATCGTCAGGAAAAAGCCACTTCAACACTTTTTAACAATAGATGTGTTAGGTTTTTACAGTTTTCTTTATTTCTTTTAAATAAGGACAATATATGGAGCACTAAGGAAGAAAGTACAAGCAAGGACAAATTATTCCTGGGTAAATCCTCAGCTAATGGAAAACAGCATAACTTTAAAACTAGAGAAAGTGTTAGGCCAACAGTGACCGAGGAGGAAGGAATCTACATCAGAGTTAAACAAAGTTAATGGTATGTGTGCATCCATGCACATTCACTGCCCTTTAAATTAAATTTAATTTTTTTCTTACAGAATGAATGCTACAATTCTTCTAATAAACAAGAGGAGATTTAATTTTCAGGCCAACATAGGCAAGAATGAGCAAGGAAATGAAGTTATGGCAAAACAAATCATGTATGCCAATACACAGGTATTAAGACCACATGTATCAGGTGTTATATAGTCAAAAACATAGAAGTAAAAAGGTTTCATCTACTTGGTTAATAGATAATGATTATTTGAGCAAAAATTTTTTTAAAAATTGCATCAAAAAGCAATGATTAATGGCAGTTCTACTCAATTTTGTGATACCACCCAACAGAGAAGCCTTTCCTGAACTTCTCTGGCTCAGACTTGTCATTCTCCCAAGTCATGCTTGCAACATTCACTGCATCTCTGCTTTCACAATTCCAGCTAAAAAGAGAAGTTGTTCTTGGATTTGTCCTCAAAAACTCAACCACAAGAAATTCTCACACACTTCCCTTTCCAAAATTATGCTTCTATTTTAATTTTTAATAATGCCAGGCTAGGAGCGTTAAATATTTGGGGCAAAAAACCTACTGATTTTATGTTTCTTTATGGCATGCCTAGAAAGGTCAGTGTGCATATCAGATTCCATGAAACATACTTTGTTTAAAATTTAAGAGCAATTATAGTAGCAATAGATTTAAATATTAAGAAGCTAATTAATAATCTTGTAAAAAAACATTCTCATAACAATAATCTTCCTGCTACTTTATGAGCTGAAATTACCCATCTTCAGAGCACTGAAGAAAGGCTAGAAAGCGTTAACCACCAGCAACACCACAAGACACAAATCTTTGCTTCAATCTGGAACAGATTAAGAAGTAGCTGCGCAATGTAACAGGAGGAGCAAGACCAACAATGAGCAAGCTGGGTGACTCGGGGCGGGGGACTGTGCAGGAGGAGGTGGTGACACATCATCCTCAAGCACAGCAGTCTGATCAGCACAGCACTGCTACCATCACTGGAAAAGGAGGCAGCATTTGCTAGGGGTGTTGCAAATGTATTTATTCACTAAAACAGGAAATTAGAAGACACTATATCTCATCCTACTGGTAGCAGCCCCTCATCAACACAGTAGGAGTGACAGAGGTTCTACAGGCACAAACAGAAAGAGAGGTGACATGGAATAAAATTTTATCTTTGTATTTTTAGCAAATAAACATTAACTTTTCACTCCATCAATTTCTATTCACTGAAGAATTAAACATCACGGAGTACAGTATCTTAGACCACGTACAGAGATTAACTTATTTAGCTGCCCTTAAAATGGAAAGTTTTCATACATTTAACTCTTTCTAAGAAAAACTACTTTGTATTTTTCTTACAATGGAGATGGAAAGAGCATCTTTAATATTTTTCAGATGTAAAGCCTGAATTTCTATAATCCCTTTCCCCAGTGAAGAATTAATACTACATACTTCGACACTTTCACCTTTGAGGACAGTACAAAAACAATTTAGTAATTTTAAAGGTGCTTTTTCTCAAGAAAGCAACATCCTCTTACAGTACATGAAGCACATCCATCAGGCTCAATGCAGGGGTCTTCATGCTCTCAGCAAGGAACACTAAATCTATTGTCTAGGCCGGAAACAGGAAGATAAGGCAAATCTGTGGAGTAAGTAGGAATAATGGAATGTTCTTCCTCCTGATAACCTCTCCTGTTCCCCATCTGGAAGCATACATGGTTCCAGCACAATGTTCCTTTGCTGTACTGAAAGACTCCCCTAGTCCTGTCTCCATCAGGCAGCACATTCATCCTTCTTTTTCTTGCCCAAAAAACTGCAGTATCCACAATGGAGACATTACAAGCTTAAATACCACACAAATAATGCAGATTTATGGAAACAAGGCATAATGACTGCCTTTGCCAGTATGAGGTTGTGTCCAATTAATAAATTATTCTATATTGCCAGTTTTGTGGATGATTAAAATGTAGAATGAAAATAAAATGCATTTGTTATATTTCTGGTTGTATTTAGGCCTAGATCACGTGGAGCAGGTTTTATGGACCTCACTGTAATGGCTAACTATACAGATCAAAACATAAGGGGGCAAGGGAAATATTCCTGTTATTTTTTACTCTATAAAGTTGACTCAACTGTATGTGAAGTAGCCACTGCAGCATTCAGCTTGTTCAAAACAAAGTAAAGTTGCAGCAAATTTACGAAGGATTTTAATTTTCATGATGGACCTTACAACCTTCTGCAGACCGCTCATTGTAGCATGTCAGGCTTGTCCCAGCACTTCACCCACTGCAAGACCAAAAGTGCAACTATCACATCCATCAGATGCAGACCTGACTATCAAAAATTAATTTGCATTGACATTCACGAGCAGCAGAGATCCTCCTAATACATCCAGGCATCCTCTGCAAAGTCTAGTGTGTGGTGTCTGAAGAGGGATATCACCTCTGCAAATTGCTTCTTGGTCCTCTTGTTCTAATGCACAAAGCACTTTCCCTAGAAAGTCCTTTTCAGGTGGAAAAGGGCCACCATGCTTCCTAAAATAGAACAAACCCATGAATTCATGGTTAGGAAAGGAGAACCTAGTCTGTTTGAACATGAATATGGAAAAAAAAAATCAATAAAAATACATCTCTTATCCTTAATGAGCTTTTTGAAGCCACTCTTTACAGAATGAGGAATTCCCACTTTGTTTGATCTGAAGAGAGAAAAAAAAGGATGCCATTAAGGGTTTTCTTCATGTATTTTCCAAGATCATGGAAGAAGAAGTAAAGACAAGTGAAGTGCCTGTCTACATTTTTTTTTGCCAGCTCATTAGCACAGACTAATTTCATTACTGATCATTCAACCCACTGTGGTTAGTGTTTTGACAAAATTCTATTATTATAACAGCTGAAATACCCATATATAGACACTGAAATGTAAGGATTAAGTTCAAAGTGTACAAAATGAAGAAAAAATAAATAAATGCACAAAAGACAGAAAACCCAAAAGTATCAAAGTATGGACATTAAAAGACTGTGAATGACTTGTGCAGGGATAGACAGCCCTCGCATGAAATCATACTTTTACTAAAACCTCCACCTTTCTCATGTGCCAACTGGAAAACAGCATAAAGAGTTCCAGCACAACATGGGAAAAAACTTTCCTAGGCCCATCTTTGGCCTTTCTCATGTTAGAGGGACAGTATGCTTTAACTAATTTCAAATTTTCTTGGAATGTATATGGTCAATCAAGAGTTTCCATAGTCTTATCATCTTTCCAGGCTGCCTGGTATAAACAAGTGACCTGTTGGCCATTTCTTTTAGAGCTGTTGTGAATGGCTCAAGTACAGCTTTGGCAATGGCAGGAAGAATTCTGAATAATTATGATCAACTTGGTGAAAATAAAGACGGGGACTCTGTGACTACACACATGGTATTTTCTTCACACACCACAACAATTCCTTTAAAACTGTTACACTAAGATAATATGTAAAGATAGTTCAGTAGGCCTCTTACTCTGAGAAAATTAATTTTTAGCAAGTGCATTCAGTAAATTTCACAAGTTACATGGGTTATATTCTTCAAAAAGATAGCTGATAGTTTCTGTATAAAGAAAGGAAAATCCTTATAGGTTCTTAGATGTTTCTACTGAAAAGGGATTGAGCAAATAATAATAATTTTCCTGTTAGTGTAAAAAACTATTTTCTTGTGTATTTAGATTCTAACAGTTTAAGTAGTTCATTTTCCAACAGTGCTCCCACTGGTTTTAACAGGATAAATGAGGGAGTACTGCTGAAAATGATGACAATAAAGGTATTGATAGCTGACCCAGTATTTTTTATACTGGGAGGCCAATATTTATAGCAATACCTGCAAGCTGAATCATGAGTCAACTTGGTCACCTTCTATGAAGTCTTTTCACTTCCAAAACAGAGCAAACAGACACAGAATTACAATTCTATTGGTGAGAGATTACAGGCCAAAAAGACAATTCAATATTATTGCTCCTTCCTCCAAATGGCCAAGGTACAAAAAATGCAGGGGTTTGTATTTGGGGGTTGAGGTGCAACATCTCAGTTTGGGGACAGCACAATCACGAGTGGAGATCTGGATTGGGACAGATCTCTGTTTAGTGCCCACCTAAGGGTTAAGGACAGACCAACAGCCTGGTGAGCTGGATTCTCATGTCAGGAGTCTTAAACGGGGGGAAATGTGCAGGGCTGCAGATTTTAATGGCAGCATTTATGTTTCATGTAGGGAGGATGGATCCTCTGGAGCTCTCTGAAGGTGAGAAAAGAGGAAAGCTTGTGAAAGAAAACTGAGGGCTGTACGAAATCAAGGTCACAGTGTTAGCTAGCCATTTAATAATAACTGTGATCAACTTTGATTGAAAGTTGATGACTGTAAGCCTACTTAATAGCCAGAGAGAAAACTGTTTCTGTAAGAGTTCAACTGAAATCACAGGATGAATGGCCAAGAA